CGCCCCTGCCCTGCCCCCCCCCCGCCAATTCCCCCATCAAATAATTCCTGATAATGAAGTTATGATGATTCACTGGTTTTCTGATGAGTGTGAATTCATCATCAAAATCTACATATTTCAATCCCCTGATATGTGCTCTCAGATTCCTAACCTGATTAATATGTAAAGTGCTTTATCCTGTGACTTAACAAGGGAGAGCCCAGCATGGTTTTAGGGACCCGTGAGGCTCCTAATCTCTGGGGTTCTGGGAAGTGTGGGAGATGTTGTTTTTCTGGTGCTTTGTTGAGGAAATAATAGGAGCACCCCAGGGACTGGACCAAGGCACCCGCAGCCGCAGCCGCAGCCCAGAGGGAGCGTAAGCTCTCAGCCCAGGCCAAGGCGCCTCCCCCATCTCCTAGCAGGGAGTCTTGGGGTGGGGGCTTGGGACAGCCCCCAGGAGAGGAGGAGTTGCAGCAGCCCCTCAGAACCTTCTGAAGGGGCACCAGGTCTTTCTCCAAGGCCATCTAAGCCAGATCTTACCCCTGGCCAGAGGAAGGCTACAAGCTGGGAAAGCAGCCTGGGCCTCCTCCCACACCACCAGCCCTGGGACTGGCCCTGCTGCCACCTTCACCTTTCACTGCATCTCAGTAAGGTTTAACATCCAGCCCTCCCAGCTACCCCTCACCTGCCGCAGGTCCTCATCCCTCTGACCAAGACTCTGCAGTTGACCTAGGCTAAGCCAGTTGTGATCCACATGTCGTTGGGCAGACTCTCACCCTGTACCCCATGAGGGGTCAATCCCTGCCTCCCTCTCTCTGTCTGTCTCTGTCTGTCTCTGTCTGTCTGTCTGTCTGTCTGTCTGTCTGTCTCTCTCTCTCTCTCTCTCTCTCTCTCTGTCTCTCTGTCTGGCTGCAGGAGCTGCTGCCTGGTGCCGTGGACCCTGATGTGGTGAGTAACTGTCTGCCTAGAGGGCTCTAAGCCAGACCTGTCCTCAGACTTTAGCTCCAGGCTTTGCACAAGGAATTTAACCTCTCTGAGCCTTGATGTCTTCTGCTTTTAAAAGAAAGCTATCAGGAATAATAATGTATGTGTGTTAGAGTCCTTGTAAATTTCAAATTAACCCGAGGCACCCCTACTTTCCTTTCTTGTAAGTTTACTTTTCTATTTTAATTCAGTTCCCTTCCCCTCCACTCAGATTGTCCCAGGCAGAGGTGTCTAGGGGACAGCGTTGCCACACCCACTGACCATGCTAACAGCAGTGCCCCAGTTGGTTGATGTGGGAGTGGAGGCCACAGAGAGATGTCAGGGTTGGGATACGGTGGAGGGGGCTGAGGCAGCACCTTTTCTCAAAGAAGCACCTGGAGCGCCTTGGGAATAAAGGATACCGTACCCCAGCGGAAGATGTATTGTTTCCTGAGGGAAATTGCCCACAGGAGGTGGGGACCCAGAAGGTGGCCTGGATGCCTGAACCTGGCGCAAGTCCCAGAGGACGACCACACGTCAGCGTGTCGCGCAGCTGGTGCTGGAGTTCTTAACCCCAGCACGGGCACATTGTCCTGGTTTGTGTATCCCCAAAGCAGGCGCGAAATAAAGGGTTCAAGTACAAGTAGCTTGCTGAGAAGCGCGGGTCACAGCAGAAGGGGCCATGACGCAGGGAAGGGGCAGCAGCCTGAGAGGATGTGTGACTGTGCTGGATACCACAGTGGGGGCCTGGGGAACCGAGGTCCACAGAGCCTACGTGTAAAAATTGTCCCGCCCAGGGAAGGAGGGAGCCCAGATATGTGTGCACAGCTTCCGCAATTCACTGAATGAGAGCTATTCTGGGAGGGTCACAGGGCTAATTCCCCAGCCGTTGCAGTCTGCTGTGCCCATGAGCAAAGTGGCCTGGCATGGGGGTGAAAAGTCCCCAGGCGTGGGGATCCAGAAGCTGGAGGCGGGCGGTGAGCCGGTCCACGCTGAAAGATCAGGGATGCCCCACACAGATTTGAGTATGTAGCAGGGCAGCGCGAACGGGAGTGGAGAGAGCTATAACCCTTGGGGTCTGGGCAGCTTTGTGGTGCGTCCCAGATCACTGGACAGGACCCCGGGTAGAAAGCGTTCTTCCTTCAGCCTCTGGAGGCACTGAGGCTTGGGCAAATCCACAGACACCTGTGGAGCAGCAGTGGCCCAAATGAGCAGGTACAGGTCAAGAAGAATCCATAACCCAGGAGTCACTGCTGTGACTCTTCCCCAGATGAAGCTGCCCGTTGCTTTGGCAGTTAGCCATTGAGATTTGGAGACTCAGGGACATGACAACTAGTTTGTAAAGTGACAGAATGGGAAGTTCTGTGGATTTAGGTCAAACACGCACACACACTTGCCAATTATTCGCTGGAATGCAGAAAGAGCCTGCTGCCAACATTCAAACCTTTTCGGAAAGTTTGTGTTTTCCAGGCTGTGCATTAAAGGAAGTTGTGCTTATTCCCCAAGTTGCAGGCACAGGGGGTGAAGTCACAAAGAGCTCATGCATAGCTGAGCAGGGACGCCCACTTGTGGGCTTTATTTAGACATGCCCCAGCATTTACTTCATCACTTTCTGGAGCCGCCCTGAGAAGTTTCAGTACTCAGCTCGAGGAGGAGAGAGAGAAAAGGGCTCAGAGTTCAGGCACATTCTCTTCTAAAGTTTGCAGGTGAAAGCGCCTTTCTGCTTCACTTCTCCAGCCTTCATCTCGCTCATCCTCTCCTGGCGGGGGGTGGGTAACAGGATGTCAGGAATGTGGACTCCATTAAGCCAAGCTCTACTGAGCAAGCCTGGGCAGGTGACCAGTTGCGCTGTGTTCCCATCTACAAAGTAGGGATCTTAGTGCCCCAAATGGAGCTCAAGACACAAGTGGTACACAGAAAGTGCTCAATAAAAGCACCCCCACTTTCCTTTCTTGTAAGTTTACTTTTCTGTTTTAATTCACTTCCCTTCCCCAGCCATTTAGGTTGTCCCTGGCAGAGATCTGACCTAGATGGCCAGGGACTTATTTAGCTCAGTGGTTCTGCTGCCTTCCTCACAAGCTCAAGGTCCTGAGTTCGAGCCCCAGCATAAATAAAAAATGTTTCTATTGATGTGGAGGTTGGATGGATGAATAGTGTGATGATCCACTCACAGTCTTTAATAAAGCATCATCAATTTATTGCACACACTATTATGCTAAGAACATCCCATTAATCATTTTTAATGGGATAACACAGACCCTTTCGTCAGACCCATTAGCTCTTATTTTGATCTGCGTTTGGCTATTCACCTCCTACAGATGTAATTGAGTCAGGGCTTAGGGCCTAGGGATGCCACACCCTCCCCACTTTATGCTTCAAAATCACCTGAGCGGCCTCTGCAGAAAAGGAGGGAAAGAGCAATTATTTTACCAAATTGGTTTCCAGCAGAAAGGAAACAGAATTTAAAAAGAATAAAAGGTCTTAATTTTTCAGTTCCATTATAACCATAAGGCATAATCATCAAAGAAAATTTAGAAAATAGAGAAACACCGGATAAATAAATGCTCATGAATGAACATTTCATGCATTTCCTCCCATTTCTTCTAGAGATGCCTTTGTTTGTTTTTGAGAGATGTGTTCACAGAGTGTATGCATATGTGTGTGTATATGGCTGTGTATCCATTTTTGTTATTTACATAGCAATTTTTGCTTATTGTGAAAAATTCAAAACATACCTGAGTACAGAATTATAGTGTTAAGATTTTGTTTGTCAATTCCTAGTCCAACTCCAGTGTCTTCCATAGAGATAAACATTATTAACAAGTTTGTATAGAGCCTTATGTATTTACATGCACACACGGAATAGGGGAGTTGCACATAAATACATTATTCTACAGTGTGTTTTTATCTTTTTAAATGTATACATTAGGTATTTTCCCCATGTCAATATTACCTCTGCCTCATGGTTTTAAATGATCACCCAATATTCCATTTTTCTGCCATTTTAAACACTGCTACCACTAACACTATCATGCAGTTGTCTTGGTGCACACTGGAGCCTTTGTAGGATGGTTTCCTGAAAGTGGAATTTCTGGGTCAAAGTATACATTACTTTTAAATTTAGATTCTGCCAAATTGTATTCCAAAAATGCTATGCCAATTTAAGGTTTCCTGTATACGAGGCTATTTCCCTACTTCTTTCTCAAAGTTAAGTTGTGTTATTTTTATCCATCTCAGTGAATGAAAACAACATTTCATGTAGCCTGGTGTGAGCTTGAGCCCAGGAGTTCAAGGCCAGCCTGGACAAGTAGTGAGACCCTGTCTCAAAAAACAAAAACAAACAAAAAACAAATACTCATTCCTCCAATTAATAGTATAAGTAATGATCTCTTTATGTGTTTATGGTTATTTTTATTTTATTCTCGGAATTGAATTTTCTTGCCTGAATTCTTAACCCCTTTTTTTCTAGTGGGTTGTACTGGTCTTTCCTATTAATTTATAGGAGCGCTTTATGTATTTTTAATATTAACCTTAATATATTTTTTAAAACCTGTCAGTCAATATCTTGTCAAATAGCCTTTTTTATTCTCCCTCACAGCAGAATTTTAAATATTTATATGATAACATCATCTGATTTCCTGATTTTATTACATAAAACTCTTGCATTTACTTTACCTAGAAATACTTACCCAGTTAGAAGTTATTAAACTACCCTTCTGTTTCTTCTAGAATGCTTAATTTTATATTGTACACTTAGCTTTTAATCTGTCTAAAATATAGTTTTAGACCAAGTATGAACTGTAGGTCTAGATTTATTTGAGTTCTAAATGAATATTGAATTATCCCCAAACTTGTCCCTTCTGATTTGAAATAGCCCTCTTATTATAAACTGAGTGTACATTTATCCACATTTGGTCTGAATATTCTGTTCTGTTTGATTTTTCTATTACTCCATTTCTGTGTCATAATCATATTGTTTCAACTGTACCATAGTTTCATAGTAATTTTTGTTTTCCAGTGGGAAAAGATCTGCTTCAATACTATATTATTACTTTTAAAACATTTCATGGAAAATTCTTATGGATTCACTTTTCCAGGTGAATTTAAGGGTAAGCTTTTCAGATTTCCTTCCAAAGAAATTCCACTGTAATTTCAGTAGGAATTTCACTGAATCACTAGATTAACTTAGAACCAACATATTTACAATAGTGAATTTTCCTCCCGGGGACATGAGATATCTCTTGTTTTTCAGCACTTTAAAATTATCTTTAATAAAACTTGTATGGTTGTTATCATGTAGACCAAGCAAATTTCTTGTTAGTTTTATTCCTGAATATTTTTATAGGGTTTTTTTTTTGCTATTATGAATAGGCTCATTTTGCCATTGCATTTTCTAATTGTTTATTACTGATAAATAAGAAAGCTATTGATTTTTATACATTTCTTTCATAATGCTTCATTTTACTGAACCGTCTTGTTAGCTCGAATAGTTTTAAGGTTTATTATTCTAAATTTTTTTGATAGACAATTGTATTAGCTCCACGTAATGTAATCTTGTTTCTTGTTCTTTGTTTTTGTTTTGTTTTGTTTTGCCTTCCTTTATGGTTAGTGTTTTCAGGACTGTATGAAAGGAGGAGTGTGATAGGTTTGGCAGCTCCAGGATTTCTGCCTAAAATGGACTTAAAGACAAGAACAGTTTTTATTAAATTCTACAGTACAGATCAATAAAAAGAGCAAGATTTCTGGAGATAGTTCTATTCCCATTTTATATAAAGTTGAGAGATCATTTATTTTCCATATTAAGCGGTTATTTTTTTTTTTTTTAACTTGGAGTGATTTGAAAAGGGGCTGATGGAGACAAGATGAGAGGTGCAGACCCTGTTCCCATGGCACCGTCACGTCCCTGGGTGATGGGGTGAACCATATTTTATCCTGATCACCTTGCACTTAATGGCATTTTCTCTGTTATCATAAACCCTTGGCCTCAAAATGTTCCATTAAGCGGGTATATCACAATTTACTTAACCATTTCTCTGGCTGTGAACATGAAGACTGTCTCTAGCTGCTCATGTTATGAATACTTCTGTGAAGAATACGTTTTGTGTGTAAAGCTTTTTTTTCTGAATTTATTATTGTTTCTTTAGGTGCAATCCCCAGAATGAATATTTTTAAGAGTCTTGATTCTTATTGCCAAATTGCCTTCTAAAATCATTTGATCACTTTTCAGTGCCACGGTCAGTACGCAAGGGTCTGAAGAAATGGGCCTTTTAAAATTAAAGATTATGAAACACATCATAGAGGAAAAGGTGTGGACTTTAGAGTCAGGGGGGTGGGCTTGAAGTTTGGTTCCCGCAGTGAAAACTGGGTTATATTTTCCAAAAGCGGCTGAGCTTCAGTTTTCCTATGTGTAGAACGTGCGGTGAATTTCTTCCACAGTCAAACCGAAGGCTGAATGAGCACGGCCTGGTGATGGCCCCTGGCATCAAGTAGCTACAACCAAAGGGGAGTCACTTCCCCTTTGTCTAGACTGTTTTCAGAAATTTTCATGTTCTGACTGGCTTCGGTGACGTCCCCTGAAAAATCTGCAGAATGACTGCGATCCCTGAGCAGAGGCCTGTCTCCCAAGGAGGAAGCCCCTCTTCTGTGCCTGGCTGTTGCTGGCTGCTGGGACCTTGCAGACCACTCACAGCCCATGCCAGAGTTCTGCTCTGTGGCTGGGAAGAGGAAAAAGGCACAAGGGCACCATTCCTGGGAAAAACCAAGTGACCTTCAGCTTCTCCCAGATGCGCGAGCGGGATCATCACTGTATGGACATTGCACAGAGCAGGGCAGTTGTCAACTGTACCCACCTCTTAGTTGCCAAGTCCTGCCAGCTCTGCTGCCTTAATATTTTTCAATTTTTCCCTTTCTCTGCACCACCAGGTCCCCTGACCTTGTTCGGGTGCTCTCACACCTGTGATACTGACATAACCTTCTGTTAGCCTCCAGAATGGCTCCCTCCTGTCGTCTTCTCACTGGCCCAGTGGGAGCTTGCTAAATGCCCATCCTGGCCATGCTGTTCCCCTGCTGGAAACCCTTCAATCACTCTTTTCACCCATGAGATATAGTCCAAACCTATAGCCTGGTGTCCAGTGTCCTCCAGCTGGTGACAACTTCTAGGTTGTACATGCTACCTGCATAATCTTTCTTAACCCTTTCAATAATCATATCAAGAAGGCATTATTTCCATTCCCCTTATGTAGATGAGGAAAATGGGACTTAGAATATTAACATATCCTTTCAAGCTGAGAAGAATGGAGCCAGGTTCTTTGTCACAAAAGCCCATGGCCCCACTAAAGCTTATGCCCCCAACCACTCAATACTGTTTGTTTGTTTGTTGGTTGGTTGGTTGGTTGGTTCCAGGGATCAAACTCGGGACCTTGCACTTGCAAGGCAAACAGCGGCACCACTGAACTAAATCCCCAGCCTATCACTTTGTTCTTTATGTGTGAAGATATCTTTCAGACTAACCTCATAGTACCTTTATATGTATGTCTATATGCAGAACTCATAATTCTAGTTGGGCACTAAACACAAACCTGACTAATGGCTAACAGAAGACCCAGCAGATTCTTCTCCTGTTCAGGGCTCCAAGGCTGGTCACAGGATTCCTGCTGTAAACCCTGATTGCAAACGTTCCAGTCACTGCCTGGGTTAGTGAAGATTTCCTAAGAGGGGCCTCTACCCTAGTCTCTGGCCCTCTCACAGCTGCCCTTACAGGGTTCGCGGTGGGATTACGCACTGAGTTAAATTGGATTGGATTGAACCAAATCAAATCCAGAAGCAGATAGTCTTCAGCAGTGGCTGGATTTAAATTCACTGTTGTCCTAATCATCTTGTGGAAGATAACACTGCCTCCTTCATAAGCCAGGCTTAGCACTCAGGTTGTTGAGGGTAGCATACCTTCAGGGGTTTCTGTTCAGGCGAGGTAGGGTTTTTTTGTTTTTGTTTTTGTTTTGATTTGTTTTAGGGTTGTTTTTTTGTTTGTTTGGTTTTTTGCATAGACCATTTGAAGTAGATCTGAATTGTGCAAGCTTCTGTGATGTAGTTTTCTGATAAATCTTGGAATTTGAACAATCTGGGTTTAAGAATCGCCTGTACCATTTGCACTGTCACTTGACCTTGGGCAAGTTATTTAAACTTCTCTGGGTCTTTTGTTCTTCGTCTATCTCTGTCTCATGGGGATCTTGTGAGAATGAAAATGAGAAATTGAATATAAAATCCTTACTATGCACAATGGTAAAGAATGCACGGGCTTGGGCAATACTTAGAATAATTGTCTTTTTCCTGTCTCTCCTGTCCATGCTGAATTACACAAGAGTGGATTGGGAGCAGCAACAATAAGGAAAGACAGAGGCAGAAATTGGAAAGCATGGTCTTCAAGGGAATTGACCAGGCAAGAGCCCTGGAAATAGGCAGTTACCAGGTCTGTGCCTCGGACAGTAACAGAAAGAGTTGGGAAGTTGGGAGGGGATGAGGTTGGAGAGGTAGATGGATACTTATTGGTATTATTGGTATTTTGTTCTGAGGGAAATAAACATTGAAATGCTTCTAGCAAGGAGTGGCATGGTCAGCTTTGCATTTTTGAAAGACCATTCTGGCTGGAGCTGCTTATTATTGAGGAAGCCGACGAGAGACCTGATGAGGTTTGGGTGAACATAGCACCAGTGCAGCCTAGGGAGGAACAGATTTAAGAGCACCAAATTGGGTGTGAGGAGCAAGCTGACAGCAGAGAAAGAGGACAGGAGGACACACAGCAACACTTGGCTTTTCTGGGAGCTCTGACCCTAACAGAAGGCAGGTCTGGAGTTCACCCCCAGTATGTCCAGCCCTCTGTCATCCACTATGTGTCTGCTGAAATCTCAGGAGACCCTCCAGCTGCCTGCCTGCCTTAAATTAGAGTGGACCTGAATACCAGTCTGCAAGCATCACCCCGTAGCCCCCACCCTGCCTCATTTCTCCCCATGCCAAAGGCTAATCCTTTCCTTCTGGCTGTATTAAAGATTATAAAAATACTTGAAGCTGTCATCTATGTGGGCCTTTCCCAGTGGCCTCTAGGTCCTACTCTCCAAAGCCCATAAGGATGGAAGGCTGCTGAGAATGAACAAAAGACACCCTAAAAACAAGGCCTGTTCCCTAGGTCAGGGGATCAAAGTCTTGGAGCATCCCCATAACATAAGTGGTAGTCTTCCAACTTCTTTGCAACATGGATACTGCTTAGAAACAAACAGAAGTTTCTTGACCCCATTTCACAAACTGTAACCCATTATACTAGGGGTGTGATTCAGTCCACATTTTAACTACTCACTCCGGGTCATCTTGATACAACAGTCAGAGACCACCTTTGAGAAATTTTGAGTAGCGAAAAATAATCACGAGGGGCCCCAACATCTCTCTAGCGACAACCGTTTGCCACAGTCCTGACATAACATTTGACCCTTACCACTCACCAGTGAGGTAAGCCCATCATGACTTACAGTCCAGGAAATTATCTGAGATGCAAAAATATTTAGCTGCTTCCCCAACAACACACAACTGGTTACTGGCAGCCTTGGAATTGGAACCCCAGGTCTGCCTGACACTTCCACCAACACATTGCCAACTGCGAGGAATACAGCACCTGTTTATGGGTAGTTAATTGTCCATTTTGTGGGACAAGGTGTAGAGAATTGGCAGACACCTAGACAAGGGGTGAGTACAGAAGTCAAACCTTGACTCAGCACAAAGATTCTTCTCGCATTGAAGTTTAGTCACTCCCTGGGGGTGGCCAGTGGCATGTAACTGAGGAGCTAGACAAACATTAGTCAGAGGTGTCCCTGAGCGGAATTCTGGAGTATGTGATTCTGAATCCGCTTTGACGCCTCTGAGGAGTGAGGCAGAGTTTTGACAAGGTGACTCCCTGAGCCTGGTCCTCACGCCAGCCCTCATCTTATGTGGTTGCATTTGTGACCATGAAATTAGCTAGTTCAAGGTAGGAGGGTTGAGAGAACTGTGGACCCTGAATCTTTGGTCCTTCAGCGAATCATTTCTGAATTAAGAGACAACTGAGAAAGTATGTTCTGTCCCCTGGAGGTAGGCTCCTGAAATTCTCTTGATGGCTGATTGAAGTCTATGTCCAAGGATGATTTCTTCAGCAGACCCAGGGAATTTATAGTGAATCCGCCAACGTTCAGAACCAACGTTCAGAACCAACGTTCAGAAAAGCAGACAAGTTTTTACATGTGCCCTTCCTGTTAATGTCATCCCAACAGCTGAGCCTACAAAAGGATGCTAGTCATGACAGAGATGGATATATTTCATTTTTCTTCAGTCTGATCCCTCTCCAGTGGAAAGACCATGGCACACAGGGAGCATTTTAGAAAGTATGAAATTACAGATGTTGTTCATTGACACCCTGTTCTCAGAAGCTGTCTCATTAGACTATCCATCTACCCCAGAGTCAATTTCAGTCCCCGAGTCTCAATTACCTCTAGCCACCCAGCTCCCCATCAAAGTTCCGCCATCCCCTTGTGAGAACCAGGATCCACGTTTGACTCCCTTCTCTGTACTCACAAGCTGTTTAATCTTAGGCAAATCATTTAACCTCTTTGAGCCTCAAGCCCTGTTGGTGGGATTATAAATTTTTTGGAAGGTAATTTCATGTAATGATTAAAATATAAAATGTCCATATCACCGTTAGGAATTTATTTCAAGAAAATAGTAAGAGGTTAGTGTAAAATGATATCTACAAAGATGTTCATGGCAGTGTTGTTTATTGTAGAGGGAAAAGGCAGCAGTTTTTGTGCAACATTACTAGTTCAACAAACTGCACTGCATGTGGCTGATGAAATGTGGAAATTGAAATTAGAGCTTCAAAGGACATTGGAAGAAATTGAAAAGTGCTTAATATGTGATAATTGAAAAATCAGGGTGCAAAATGGAATATATAGTATAAAGTAAAAATTTTATACACATACATATATAATGGTCATAAAAAGGGAAAGAGTGGAGAAAAAAGTTAACATCCTTAGCTCTGAATGGAGTATTATTGTGTCTTACTTTATGTTCTTTTGTAAGTTTCTGTAGATTTTACAGCAAGGCTGTATTACTTCCTGGATAAAAGATAAAATGTTTATTACACATTTTGGGGGGGTGTTGGGCACAAACTCAGGGCCTTGTCACGCTAAGCACACACTGTTCCATTGAGCTAACTGGCCCAGCCCCTTGAAATGTATTTTCATGGCTCCCACCACTTAAAGGGTAAAGACCAAAGTTTCTAATGGGGTTTTCAGAACCTGACCCTGTCCTAACTCAGTGCCTTCATCTGCTGCCACTTCTCCCATCCTCACCAGCTCCCCTATAATCCCCACGTGCCTTGTTCCTGCCACCCCAATCGACTTACTATTCTGTAAGCGCATCATAACTGTTTATCCCGTCCCGTATTTGTTCTTCCTGCTTTCCCCATTCAGAATGAACTTCGCCACATTCTGCAAGACCGAATTCAGACATCTCCACTTCTCCCTTGACTGTCAATTGCTTCCTGCCCTTTCTCCTAAAGAACACGTTACGTATAATTATTTAGTTTCTGTAATCTCTACTTTCCTTTCTCCAAGATTTTGTAAGAGCCCCAGGGGGTGGGGGGAGACTGACCCTGTCTTGGAAAATGAGGAAAGAATTCATAGGTTAGAGTTTTTCAAGAATGAATAGGAGATTGACAGCCAGACAAAGGCAGTAGGCATCCCACACAATTCTGCAAGGTACTTCCAGTTGATAGACCCCTGAACCTATTTCTCTCACAGCCTTAGTGGTCTTTTTTGTTGGTTTGTTTTTTGAGACAGGGTCTCGCTATGTAGTTGAGACTGACCTGGAACTCACTATGCAGCCCAGGCTGGTCTCGAACTCACAGCGATCCTCCTGCCTCAGCCTCCCAAGTGCTGGGATTACAGGCGTGCACCACCACACTCGGCCTCACAGCCTAGTGTTGATGTATGTGGGTACATATCTCTCTGCCACCACTTGGAAAGGTCACCCAGTGCAGAAAATTTACCTTGTCTGCTTTACAACATTCAGCACAGTGCCTGGCACATCCTTACCATCCTGCTTTCAATTCCTAGTATTAAAAGGTGTGAAAATACCAATACAATAATTATCTTTCTCTTTGTCTTAGCGCAGATGGGGAAAGAATCATATTTATCATTGGCTGCAATAAGGGCCTAGAGACAGTGACAGCACTTGGTATATAATCTGTTGATTTTAAGCAAATTAAAAAAGTTATTCCCCTAGTAAGCAGTATGCAGATAGTCTGCAATATTTGGTCTTTCCTAGAGTCTAAGCATCCCACCAGGATGAGCTTTGCTTCTCCTTTAAACAACATCCCACAGTTTCAAAGTGATGGCTTTGAAATAAATCCTGCTTGAGTGATGTTTCTCTTGGACTCATAAAATCTTTATGGCAATCTTGCCTCATCGAGTATGAGGAGGAAGAGAGAGCCAGAATCACTAAGCAAGAAGTGGGGAATGCAGTATTTCCTCATATGTAGGTCACACATTTTATGTAAATAGTTTTGAAATGCAAGTCCAATACTGACTACACTTTAGCACGCGCGCGCGCACACACACGCAGACACACAGACACACACACACACACACACACATGCCAACACCCCATAGCTCTGTCCAAAGTGCTGAATCTGTGAGCTAAGATCTCTTAATCTCTGATTAAAGAGTGGGTGATATGGAAATGTGTTCATTCGGATGGAAGGTTTGAATGTATTTAAAGACCCAGAAATAGCTATTCAAGGAATAAGCATACGAATACTGGCAGACAAAACAACAGGTTAGTGCCCCCCGCAAATAAAAACAGAAATAGTAAACTGGTGGAGCTAAGCTCTCAACCCAGTTATGCAAAGGACACTTACTTGTGAGTTGTGCATTCATTGGGCACACATCTTTTGAGTGTCTGCTGCACAATAGATATTGTACTGTGACACTGAATTACATAAATCATAATCTTTGGTTTCTATGAGGTCACAATCAGTGCTTGCTCAAGCACTGACCAGCTGTTGATCTTTCAAGCCTCAGATTTTTCTCATTTAACAATTAGAGATAATAAGAGCTCACAGGGTGATTGTGTAGATTAAATAAGTTAATGCTTTACACAGAATTTAATATATTGTAAGCTCTCAATAAATGTTATATATTAGCTTTAGGTGTGATGCACTGTGCTAAGTTCTTTATGTCTATGATCTCATTTATTTCATACCAGTCATGATCAGGCTCTAATATCTCCTTTGTATGGATGAGGAAAATGTAGCTCTGAAGAATGGGGTTAGGCCACTTTCCAACATCCATACAGTTAGTCAGTAGTGTGCACAGAATTCAAAGCAAGTTCTTTCTTCCTTGAAAGCTAAGACTCATGATTATGGTGATGCTGGTTAAAGCAGGAATTGGGGACAGACTGGCTGACCACACCAAGATGCAAGGAAGTAAGGCAAAATCTACCTTTATCTGGGCTGGCATTTTTGAGAAGGCAAAGTCTTAGGGAACATGACGGGTACATGACACAGGTATCCTGTGAATTTTCGGTCAGGGACACATGAGAAATGGAGAGGAGAAACCCAACCCTGGAGAGAACAGATTCAAATCACAGCCACCTTGAAAGAGTTTCACTGGGCTTCCGTCCCATGGGAAGCAAGAATGAGGATCAGAGACCAGAGCACACCAGGCAGGCAGACGGCTTCCATTTAGTCAGGGCTGTTAGCCATCAAGGCTGCAGAGGCCCCGGTGACACACATCCCACTCCACTCCAGGGGGCAGAAGACTATTTGCAGACTCCATTTAATAAGGGGTGAAGGTTTGTTTTTTTTTTAATGAATTGCCTGCCAGAGACTTATTGGCACCAGGATAGGACAGATTGACCTAAAAATGCACTCAGTAAAGGCTGGACCAATGCTGGTGTCCTCATAACCCTGGCCCCCCATGCTGCATTTGGAGTCAGACTCTTTGATTGTACTTGTCTGCGTTCCACAGGGTAGGAATGGTGGGGAGTCTGAATTAGTGGCAACACATGGTTATCTTGCTGGTAAGGTTGTATTTTTTCTTTTATTCCAAGAGCTTATGATTCAGTCCTATGGCGTCACATAAATAAACATTCTCTTTGCCTTCCTCCCTGTGGGAAACAAGGCTATGGAGCACAGCCTCCCCTACCCAAGGCTGTCCCATAAACAGTGGGAGTTATCTGGATCCCCTTGATAGAAATTGGAAAGATCACATTTTAGTAGTGTCGGTGGCAATTGCTTTTCCCATTTGTGACAATCCTGTGCCATCGTGGGGCCTCCCTAAGCTGCCCTTCCAGCTCAGACCTTCCATGGGTACCTTTCAATCACAGAGTTTGCCAGCCATCGAGCAGGTAAATAGATCAATGAGGGCTGTTCATCCAGTCAGGCTCCCTGGGCCTCTGTCTGCTGCTTTCAGTCCTTGCTGCCACTGTGAGATCAATGGGGATCAGATGGCTGTGCTGTGTCATAACAATGGCTCCTTTGCAGGGACTTGGCTCCATCCCTTTTCAAGCAGGGGAGGTCAGGGACAGTCATGCCCAACACACTGGTGATCCTGGGGAGGCCCATGTTACCTTCTGAGAAGTCAGCAGTGGTCTCTGGAATACCCCACATGCTGTTTTCCTGCTGTCTGTCTCCAACCCATGTGGACAGTAGCGTTGTTCCCATCTCCTGCACACAGGTCCCGGTTTCAGCTTCTGCTGCAGCTGAAGGGAAGGCATGGTATGTCCAAGAAAACAACCTTTGCAGGAAACAAGGTTTCAGGTTATTTGCAGTGTCTTGCCTTCCTGCAGCAACAGCCTCGTGTGACAGCCCTGGCTTCAGAAGCAGGGGGATTATTGAACAAGTGCATGGGACAGAAAGTGCTAGAAAGTGGAGCTCGGGTTACCCAGGCTATTCCCCTTCTCCTGGCTTAGTAGCACACATTGTCCCAAGTGGCCACGCCTAGCTGAAGGGACTCATTTAGCAGACTCTGCTTCTATAGCTCTTATCACATGATTGACAGAGAAAATCTGGTTGGCTCTGCTCATTACTCAGGTGTCCCTTTCTTGTCCAGTCACCTGATGCTGTTAGGTAAGAGGTAGGGAGGCAGCACAGGCCCCAGAAGAGGGACCCAGCTGGGCAAGCAGCCCAGGGTGGCCCTTGTACATTAGTGTCACCTGTGTCATCTTTGGTATCCCTTGGGAGGTAGGGGGAAAACTGCTCTTTTTCACCCAGCTCCTTAATCCTAGCTAAATAATGCAGACGGAGAGTTGAGGACTCATGAAGAGAACTCGAGAGCAACTCCAGGCTGTCCTCACAACTAGTGTGGCTTTCACAATCTCCAAAAAGGAAGCCTGATAAATACCAAGAATTACTGTGGTCGTTATGGATCCTCTAAGTAGCTAAACCCCCCTAGATTCTCAGGGTTGTAATACCTTGGGATTTGGAGATATAATTAAGAACAGATGAGCCTCAAAGAGGTTGATGGTGGTGATCCAGGACTACAGCCCACAGCAGAGAGAATCTTGAGTGAGCGCTAGGCCTTCATCTCCCACGTGTGGTAGTGGAAGCAGGACTGGTGGGGCCTGCAGCATAAAGGACCTTAGCTACGGGGGTCACTGGGCTCAGGAGTCCTGGCTTCCCATCCTCCCAGAACATGTGACACAGCTGTGAACCTACACAACAGGCTGGCAAGAGAGGCTGGCAACAAGCTGCTGAGCAGCCTGGAGCTGTACCCCACAGCCACAGTGAGCCACTTTGGCCTCTACGGGATTAGAGACGGGCACTGTCTGACCCACTTCCTGTTGGCCGCCAATTTGCCTTCTGTCCACACATTCATTGGGCCAGAAAGGGGCCGTGCGAAGTGCTGGGTCATCTCCCACCCTCTTTGGCTTTTACCCATTTTCCAATATTTTCACTGACTTTAATACTGAAAGGTGTAGAATAACCAATAAGGTAATATTTCAGATACTTTATTTGATCTATCAAGGGCAGTGACCTGAATCTATATTATCTGTCACGCCAAGAACATCATGACCTTCTCAAAGGAAATGAATTTTCTCCCAACCTGAGTCAAGCAAGCAGCTCAGACCCATCCTCAAGCAAAAGTCTCAGCACCTAAGAACTTTCAGGACATTAAATCTCCATCAAAACAGGACTGGGCTCTTGAAGTTCATGATTTAGAGCAGCACAGGAAGGGAAGGAGCCTCATAGCTACCATGATAGGTGGTAGCATGAGGGGACTGGAGCCAGAGTTCCTGGGTTTTGCCACTTGGTAACTGTGTGACCTCAGATAAGTTGTTTAACCTCTCTGTGCCACCATCCTCTCACCTGCAAGCCAGAGGTTAGACTAGAATCTGCCTCCTGGAGTTGCTCTATTAGATGAGTTAGTACATGTGAGGTGCTTAGAACGGTGCCTCAAACGCAGTAAGCGCTGAGGGAGATACCTGTTTCTCACGTATGCTGCTCTGTCTTCTCATTTTATTCTCACAAGAAGCCTGGGAAGCAGATTTTTGTATTATGATGCAGAAGAAGACATTGAATCTCTGGTGTTTATAGCACATTGCCCCCGCCGACATGGTTAGTAAATGGCAGGGACAGACCCTAAGGTGAAGACCTCTGACTCGGAGCCCTGCACTGTTCCTCCCTTCACCTCCGCGGCCAGTCCCCTCCTGCTCAGCCTGGCTTCCCACGGTCATGGCGCACGCATTCCGCGGGTCCCCCCTCCGCGGGCGCCGGATTCTCCCTGGAACTCCAGTGGCCCCGGAATCTCAGCACCTTTTCATAGCTGGAGCAACTTGCATAAGGTACTTAAAGCCCCTGAGCTTTAGTCTGTTCGTTTTCTGTGAACCAGCACAGAGCGGAGACAGAGAACAGTTGCCCCACATAGGCAGCCTTGCCTGTCCGGGACCCTCTTGCTTTAGTCTGCCTACCTCTAGATTAAGTGTACTGAACACCCAGTCACGGAGTTAGACCCGCTCCCTGGCAGCATCAAATCCAGGCTCAGCTCTGCTCCCACCCCACACTTATGTGTGATGTTCATCCCCTCCCTCGGCAATGAGCCCGACTTTGTTCAACTACACAGGATTCCTGGTGGTCTTTGGCTGAGAGATGCGGGGGGCGGGTGCGTGCGCGTTGACATAGCCTCTGGAACTGTGATGACGCCTGAGAAGCACTTGCAAATAAGCCTGGTACCCAGTCAGTACCCAATACATGTGAGAGATAGCCATTAAAGTTATTACAAAAAGTGTCCTTCCCCCTTGGGCAGAACTGAGGAGCGCCCAAGACCTCTCCTTGCTCTCAGACCCCATCTTTCCTGACGTCCCCCACAAACGCCCTCTTGTGTTGACTCGGGGTACTGCAGCATTCGCCCTTAGCATTTCCCAGATCTTTACAGGATAGCCCTCAAATCTATGAAAATCTCTTTTGCCCAGGACATTGGGGCCTCCCTTAAAGGACATCCTCTGAAGATGTTGAGGAAGCATAGGGGGAGCAGTGAAGGGATGATGGAGCTTCTCGGCCTTGGCAGGGGAGAGGCTCTGTACATGGAGATTCCCTCACCCGCTGGCCAGGGCTGTGCAGGCCAGAGGGGCATGGCCAGGTCCTTTAGTGTGAATGTATTCACAGCTGCATGGGTGACGGGCAGCCCCGGGGACAGCAGAGCTCGTCCATGCCCACTGGTGCTAATTGCACATAATGCATTAAAAATACAGAGCCACATCTGTTCGTTTTAACGTGGGTACTGGGAAATTGACGTGGTTTATAATGACAGGGTGTGAGGAGAGGAAAATGCTTATCCTGCCCGTGAGCCAGAGGCACTGCTGCAAGTGAAGAGCTGGAGGTGTAATTTCCATGCACAACCAGCTCCATGGGTGCCAGCCAAGTCCTTCCCTAGAGGCACCAAGGGATACGGCCAGGCATTTCACTGGAAATACCTAACTGCATAGCCAGTCAAGCAGAGAGTATATGTCCAGGTGCCTGGTAATCCTCTTGCCCTGTTCTGGTATTGGCAGAGAGTTCCCGATGGCACTGACAGCAAGGAGACTCTAAATGACCCCTGGGCTGCCAGGCGTAGGGCAGAAAGATCAGCCAAGCTCTCCTGATTCAATCATTCCAGCAGGTGTGAACTGCGAACCTACCCTGGTGTCTAGCTCCTCCTCTGCAGAATGCAGTGTTTAAAGCACCTCCCTGGTTGCTTTTTTAATGAAGATAGCTACACTACATTTCTTCAAGCAGTATCAGGCATAGCATAGGCATTTAATAAAAGTTTGCAATTATTATTTTATTCCACACAAAATGTTGTGTTAAAAATTAAGGCACTGGGAGGAATAAGACCCTTAAACACCATCTGGGGGAGACAAACAACAGTTGTGATGTAATATGCATTAGTTTATGTATACACTATATAAGCTGTATGGACCAAATGTGAACTTACATAAGCTGTTTGGGGAACACAGAGGAAGGCAGAAGAGAAAATGGCTTTCTGGACCTGACCTTTTCTGACCTGAGTCCTGTAGGATAAATGAAAGTTTCCCAGACTTAGAAATGATCCTGGTTTAGAGTAGCATATGCAAAGGCCCTGGGGCTTTAGAGGAGAGGATAGTGTTTCTGGAGAAAAATCAGTCTAACAGGATCTTGGGGTGGGTTATTAGACACCTACTGCTGTATCACAAATTACCCCAAAACTTCATGGTTTGAAGTAATATTCATTATGTCATATTTTTTTAGTGTAAGGTATCCAGGTGTGGCTTAGCTTGGTTCTTTGGCCTTTGGATTTCTCCTAAGGCTGCACTCAAAGCATCCACCAGGGCTGCAGGAAACTCAGAGCTCACCTGGGGGAAGGATTGCTACCAAGCATATGCACATGGTTGTTGGTTGTCTGCGGGTTCAAGTTCCTCCATATTGTGACAAGAGAGTGCAAGAGACTGTGACAAGAAAAAGAACCCACACCTGAGATTCTTTCCAAAAGGCAGCTTGGACACTGCTGTTGGCCTCATCTATGTAAGCCAAGAGAGAGTGAGACAGAGGGCACAATCCTTGATAGCCTAGCACCTGAAAGGAGTCACTGGGTCCCCAGCACAACCTGCCTGCCCATCCCCAATGCCTCACATCCCTTCCACCTACAGAATATAGCCACCCCTTCCCCAGGTCTACAAACATCTCCTCCCATGGCAGCATCAAAGCTCAGACTCATCGTCCAAATCGAGTCCAGCTGTGGATGTGGCTCGAGGAAATTGCTTAGTCGGGATGTGGCAACGTGTGAAACTAAAGAGAGAAATGATCTGCCCCTGTCTGCCCTATACGTATACAGTGGTGGGATAGGTTAGGACGAAGGCTATGGACATCCTGCTCATAAAGGGAGTGTGAGGTACAAAAAAGTACTGGTCCATGACAGTTTTAAATCCAGCCAGAAAAATTCCAGAAGCTTCTTGATTAGGTTTCAAAGCCTAAGACAGATTTTTCCGTGACTCTTAGCTGCACCTTCTAAGCCCTTGGTAACTGAGTCACGTGTCTTTTGTTTTTCTGGAGCTAAGGATTGAATCCAGGGCCTCTTGAACATTAGGTGAGTATTCCAGTGCTGAGCTACTTCTCCAGTCCCAAGGAAGCGTGTGTTTGAAGCAGACTTGGTTCTGCTAAAAATTTGGGGGGTTCTGTGGCCTTTTTTATGCTGTGCTCTCTCAGTCCCTTTCAGTCCCGGTTGTCAGTCTGAGAACAGTTTTCTCAAACTTGAGTTTCTGCGATCTCACTGAGATTCCCTCTCTGCACAAAAGCCACACCCATTGTTTTATTTGAACTAAACCCTTTCATACCTGAGCCTCCTGCTGAGGAGGCCAAAGATGCCCCTTATGTCTCCCAGAGTCCCTCATGTTTGGTCTGGAGACCTTCAAGGCCAACTCTGATCTCTTTCAGAGGCCTTTGTGTGACCCTTTGGTGTTTCTGAGGTCTTAACCAAAAGCCACACAGGTCACACTCTTAGCTTTATCTCCAGACTGCCTTTCTTTGACAATGTTCAAAAGCCATCTCTTAACTTTATCATCTTTTGCTATATCGGGAGACTAAAAACCTTCAACACTAGCAAGTCCTGGTCCTTTATGTTGGACATTTTCCTCTCTCTTCATAGATCATGCTCAGCACTTGGGTTGGACATCTCCAAAGCAAGGTGACCAAGTGGGTGAGATGTACATTCTCCTTGCCACACAACCACAGATAAGTGTCACTAAGATTTCTGCTACTCTCTAGCAAGGATCCCCTTCTACCAGCCTCCAGTACTGTGTTCCTTGTTTCCATCCTCAGAGTCCACCTCTCTTTGAACAGTCTCTGTGAGGCAATTGGAAGTTCTACAACAATTTCCTCAAAGTATTCGCAGCCTCTGCCCATTGCCTGGTTCTGGAGCCACCTCACTTTTTTTTTTTCTTTTAAAGTATGTGTCACAGCATTTTCTTTCTCTTGATACCTAAATCTATATTCATTGTTTATTCCAGTTTGTAACAAATTACCTCAAACTGTAGAGCCATGAAACAACATCTATTAGTATCTGTGTGTCAGGAATCGGGCCTGTCCTAGCTGGTCTGTCACAAGGCTGTGGTACAGGTATCCCCTGGGGCTGCAGAACCTCAGGGCTCACCTGGGGCATGATCGATCTCTTCCAAGCTTCCTTGCAGTCATTGGCAGGCTTGGATTCCTCGAAGACTGCTGGCCAGCAGCCACCCACTGTCCCTGCCACATGAGCCTCTCTGTAGGGCCACTTTCAACCTGTCAGTTTGCTTTAGGCAAACGAAGGGGAAGAGAAAGGAGCATCACAGGCTTTTGTAGCCTCATACCAAGTGACATCTCATCACTTTTGCCTCGTTCTAGTCACTAGTATTGAGTGTCTGGGTCCAGCCCACATTCAACGGGGGTCTACACAGGGTATACGTATCAGTAGGAGGGGACACTGAGAGCATTTCAGAAGCCCAGGAACAGTGCATCTGGCAAGGTCCCAATGGCCTCACGTTGCCATGTCAGACTCTAGGAGGTGACAGGCAACCTCTGAAAAATTTCACTGCTGAAGGGGAGATTCTTAGAAATACAGTCCACAGGCTACGGCAGAGGAAGGATGGAAAAGAGGGGCATGGGCAGGAAGAGTTCTCGTCAGGCACCTGCTACCGAGGATGGCCTGGTAACAGGAGGCTCATGGTGTCACTGGTCGTCAGAGATCAGGCCCAGCACCATGGGTCACGTGGCTGAGCTGTCCTGCTTGAAACTGCTTTTGTGTGTTCTTGCCTTCTGAACCATTTTTCAGAGACCAGGGCAGGCACCCCCATTCCTAGGGCATTTCTCACCCCGGTCTTCATCTGCGCACAACAGTGTCCATGATGGTCCACTTCTTCTCAGTACACCTTAATGGCATGTACTGCTTGTAAAAGTGTGACAACATAAGAGGTCGCATGATAGGACAGAGGGGCTACCAGTGCCTTTGTGACCTTAGCATCATGACCTCACCCTGTCCACAGACCTGATGTCTAGTCTTAGAGGCCAAGCAACTAGATTTCTTTCCCCCCACTTGATATGTTTAGTGGAGGCTGAAAGCAATGGGAAAATCCCAATGTGGTTCTGTAGCCCGGATGATGGTCGATTGTTTTACCACCAGGACCAACTTCCCTGTTGTGATTTGAGGGAAGCCCAATCAATAAAATATACTCATTTCCCTCTCCAGTGCAGAATCAACTGGCAGACGATGGAGGAAGCCAGATGAGGATCAGAGTGTCACCTTGATTACTGAAGAACCAATTGGAAGGCAGACCTGATGCACACTTCAGGGACAGAAGGATAGAGAAAGAAAGGAAGGGAGGAGGGAGACAGCTGGGAGGGCCAGCTCTTCTCAAGTTCACCCACAGTTAAGACTACTTCCTACTTCCTCCAAAGAGCAAGAGAGAAGCAACAGGAAGGAAAAGGATCCTTCTGTGGTTCTGAGGCCTGCAGCATCAGAGACACTTGGAAACGATAGAAATGCCTTTTACAGGTCCAACTCCCAGAAATACTGAGTCAAACCGGGGGAGGGTGCACCTTATTAGGCTTCTAAGCCCAGCAGAACCCCTGATCTAGAGGAAGTTGACCCTTGTGGAAACGTGAGGCCCAGAAGGAAGTATGTCCCTGGAACATTCATGATCCCCACCCTAATCCTAGGAAAATAAATCACAGACAGAAAGTTCCCCTGGCCCCCACATTGGGTTTTTAGTTTGCAGCTGCTCCTAGGGACACAAGTGGAAACTCCTCATGATCTCCACCCCGTAGGGAAGGTGTCATGGGTCTGGGGGCTCCCAGCACTGCTTTTTTCTCTTGTATTCATTGCAGGGGTTACCATCCTCTTATTGGTTGCTTGATACTCTCTGAAGACTAGAATGACCAACAAGACCTCAAAGATGTAAGCACGTGGTTTTCTCCCTCTGAAACCCCTCTCTGGCTCCCTGTGCTACTTAGATTTCAAAATGAACCCGTCGCCAAGGCCTGCACCTTTCCAACCGTATCTTACTACTTGTCACATTTCCATCTCTCTGGCCTCTCTCTGGCCTGCTAAGATGCCTCACCCAATCCTGCATAAAAGCCTTTGCACTCACTGCCCTGCTGCTTGAAGGATTCTTCTCTTGGACCTTGATTGTCTCCGGCCCTTTGTCCTTTAAATCTAAACCAAAATGTCATCCCACAGAGAGCCTCTGGCCTCCCATTCCAAGCACCCACCATCCCACCTGTCAGTGTTGACCTTATCACCCTGGATTATTTCCTTCAGAGCACTTGACGCTATCAAAAAATATTCTGGTGTGTTTATTTGTTGATTTATTTATTGTCTGTCTTTTCCCTGGAATGCAAGGGATCAGGGCCCTTGATGTATCCCTAGCACCAGAACAGTCACTGGTATCTTGCAGGCATAAGATTTACATAAATATTTGTTGAATGAGTGAATACATTAACGTTACACAAACAGAGGAGAGAAGGCTCAGGGTGGAGGCATTTGGGCATCAAGACAGTGACAAGTCTAGAAGCTTTGCTTCCCAAAGCAGGGCACCTGAGCCCTACTGAGTGGGCCTGGGAGGCTGCCACCGTGCAAACCCCAACCTGAGGTCCAGGCTCCCCACTCTATCTCCCTCTGCTGTCATGACATTACAGGCATTAGAAGCCAGCAGATTCATACCCTTCTGTAATCTTTTCATTTTCAGCAGGGGCCCTACACACTGTTTTCAAAACTGTGACTTACCACACACATTCACATAATTAACCACAAAGGAAACTAGAAAGGAGCGGATCATGGAACAGCTACCCTCGAGGGTGTCCACCATAGTACATATTGGCAGAGGACTGTGCCAAATACTTTTGGGCATGTGCCATATCATTTAATCACTGAAACACCGTATGTCAGGCATCATCCCCATTTCCCAGGTGAGAACTATGGGGAGGCTGATAATGAGGACGGAAAGGTCCTGCCATAGCTCAGGTTGGAGCCACCGTATCCCAGCATCAAGTGAACTTGGACAAGCTTAGAGGCTGAAGGGACAGCGTCCTTGTGGTGAGGAGCAGAGGCTGGACAGAGGTAGGGGAAGAGGGTAGGAGGAGCAGTGTGGCTCCCTGTGAAAGGTGAGAACAGTGGAAAGGGTGGGTGTAGATGGAATTTTAAGACAGAAAGCTGAGAGCACTTACATCTGATGATCTGTGTTCTCAATGAAGCAGAAAATTAGGGTGTCCCTTGAGAAGGTGGAGGAAGAGCCGAGGGGAAGTAGAGCCAAGTTGGAATAGCAGCTGTGGCCAACGGGGATAGGAATTTTGCCAGAGTAAAGGCAGCTTGCCAGGTAGAGCAAGGCTGCTTCCTCCATGAAGTCTTCGGTGATGGGATTGGTGGGTGGACCCCAGTCCCACCACAGCGTTTTGTGTGTTCACTTTTAGCACCATGCCTGGCAATGCTATGATATATGCCTATCTTCTTATGGGGCAGGAACCTAACAACTAGTCCCTGTCCAGCCTCCACATATCCAACTCTGCATAGCAAGTGGAGATTCTCTATGAATGGCCTGATTGCAGACCCTAAATTTCTCAATCACTCCTATGACCTCAATGCAGTTCTAAAAGATTTTTTAAACTATGTTTTTACTTTTCTTTTGAAAAGTAAAAATCCCAGAAGTGAGTGGAAAGTAGGGTTAGCGATGGAGTTGGGTAATCTGTTGACACATAACTGGGGAGTCAGTTTAGTGGTTTGACTCAATCTTTTTGATGCCAGGAGGTAAAAAGAACCACTGCACAATATCTCATTTCAATGCATCTTGATTGGTATGAAATACTGCCCAGTATTTTATTGCCAGGAAAATCCAGATACATTACGCAACCCCATTCATCTCAAATTAAGTAGCAGAAAACTTACAGAAAATGAAACCTAGGGGCTCATCTTTAGCGAAAAGCCCAGGAGAGTGGATGCCAGGACCGTCTACCATCATGGCCTCACTGTCAGGCTGTGAGAAGGACATGCAGGCTGCATCGTCCCCCAGCACTCCCTAGGGAGCCCTGAAGTCCACTTTGATTGGACCATTGCTGAGCCCATCTCCTTGAAGGGAATCATAAAAGGGAGTTAAGGTGCTGTGGGTGACCAAGAGGAAGAGGAACAAGTGTCAGGTGATCATGAATTTGATGCTGCCGCCTTGCAGATTTGGTATCTAGAATGAAACCCCTGGTCCACGTAGGCCCATGGTCCCCACGGACCTGCCTATGAGATGAGTTTCTGGTGGGTGTGTGGGGTCATGCTTTGCTTCTGGGGCCTCACCCACCTGGACCTGGACCTGGTCCTCCCATCTTCATAACCACTTGGAACCAGAAGGTCCTACACCTCTGTGACTCCTAGCTTCTTCACCCTGCTCCATCCCATGTGCTTGAGCCAGCCCATTTGGACGCCACTACCCCCTCTTCAAGAGCCAGCCTCCCCAAGGTCCCTCCCCAGCCCCAACCTCTGCACCCAGCAGCCTACTTTAGCGCACCCACGAAGGCTTCCCTGATGTCACTCATGAGACCAGAGCCAGGCAACACAGTTCAGCAGCATTTTATTTTTTTTAAAGCGGATCCATCAGTTTTGTCTGCCTCGGGTTTTCCCTCTGCGCTGGCCTCTAGCCAACCTCTGGAGGTTCTTCCTGGCCTGGCATTGTTTATGGTAGGTTTCAAGATCCTCAAAGTACTCAGCTCTCAGAATAGCTGCTCTCTGCTCGTATGGCTGCTTTTCCGCCTCTGTGGTTGCAGACCACATCTTCCCTGTGGCCTTTGCCACCTGTACCACAGACCAGTTGGGGTTCTCCTTCTTCAGCTGGGTGTAGTGGTCTTGGCAGAACAGCAAAAAGGATGATGGAGGCCGTCTGGGTGCCTGGGGGTCCCGCTTTCTTCTTTTCCTCCTCCTGCCCACATAATTCATCATTTCTTCCTTATACCGGGCTTTGTCGAGCTTCGCCAGGGCTTCGTACTTGGCCTTTTCATGCTTTGAGATGGCCCTCCATTTTTCCGAACACTTTCTAGAGAACTCTTTAAAGCCAAGGTAGGTATTTGGCTGCTGCTCCTTACACTTGTTTCGGTAATTCAGTAAAAAGTGGATATAAGAAGAGACGTTCACCTTGGGCCTTGGCTGTACTTCTTTTCCCATGTTCATAAAATCATGTTGTCTTTTTTTCTGGTTTCTGTAATATGGACAGCAGAGACTTTTGTCTCCTCCCACCGGGAGCAATCTAGGAGGCGCTCTGCTGGCAGTGAATGTTTCTCTCTGCAAGAGCTGCAGTCCGAGGTCCGCCTTTTTAGTAGTGGTGGCTTTGTTGGGTCAGAGGAGTGAAATTGTGACATCACCCACAAGCTGGCCAATCCTGGCCAACACGTGTAAGCATTTGCATACAGGTACTCTGATTGGATGGTTACTCTAAGATCTGTATCTTTCAGGAAAGATGATGGTTTATCCAAAGAAAGCTGTGGAACAGCTATTGCCAGTGGGAATGATTCTCCTTGGCTTCCTGGGAGGCAGTGGGTTTTGCTCAGCTTTGGGAGTTTTAAATCCCTCAGGGTAGTAACAAGGGTCTACTTCGCTCACAATGGGGTTGTCGGTTTGCCCCATCCTCCCTTCTGAAGACAGGCTGGAAATAACAGGAGGTGGCTGGCTCAGAGGTGTCAGGATAGAATGTGCAATCTTTCTGTTTTCCTTGAACAGTGGCAGCTCACACCATACAAAGGGTTTAGTAGTAATTCTAAAAATAATCAGCTATGACAGCTGTGTGGGTGCTGTCAGGACAAAGTTGTCTAATTTAAAACCAGAGCACTTGGGCTGTGAGTCTGAACCCTTCATTTCTCTGAAGAAATCTGAGGGGAAGGAGGGAGGAGAAACTGGAGGTTCTTTAATTACATTTGAGTGCATGAAATTGAGAGCATTCTTAGCCCATTGGGAGGCTCCTCCCTTTCTGTGAAAGGTCCCCATTTCTTCGGGTTGGAGCACAAGCCTCTAGGAGCTACACTTAAATGAGTTGGCTTCTGGCTTTTTGTAAAAGTAGTTGCAAATATTCCATGAGTCTTCCATTTGGAGGGAAAAGAAAAACACTGTTGGCCTTTGGCCCCTGAAGCATTCTCATGTAGGATTGAATTTAATACAACTTCCTGGTAGATATAGTGCCAAAAGTATAGGACTAGAAAACTTAAGTTTCAGTAACATGAAAAGTAACAAGTCTAACATCAACCAGTCGCTGGTGCGAGTGTGGGCTTTGAGAGCTGAAGGCCAGAATCAATCAAACCTATGCTCCACCCTGTCTGTACACACAGTTTCCAGCAGCTGAGCATGGGAAAGAGACCTGCCTAACTCCAGGATCACTCTGGGAAGTTCTGCCAAACCCATTCGCAGGGCTCTAAGACTGACTTCAAATTTTGGCTTCTGTAAAAGATGGAAACCAAATACAGTTCTCAGGCCTGAGTTCTAACCTCACAGTCTGCAGCACCTGTGCCTACCTAAACCATGTTCTTCCTCCTTGTGAGCCATTGGATTCTCATAAAGTGAGCATTTCCAGGAAAACCCCTCCAGGGGACATTCCCTGTATGATGTCAGGAGAAGAAGTAGTTTGGGTTAGTGGGTTGGGGGTTCTTGCCAATGGGAATGGATTACTCTGGGGACATTAGTCCGCCTGAGTAGTTTTTTCTTTTCTTTTTTTTTTTTTTTTAACTTTTTCTTCTAAGGAGTCAGACTGGCTCACCTGATTGTCAAACTGTGGAGATGAATGAGACACAAGTACTTCCTGAAATTCAACAATGGGACATGAGGAGGAACTGTAGCTGAAGTCTACGCATTCATCAGATTCTGCTCAGGCAGGCATGCACACACGGGCTAGTGACCGTACACACAGAAGCTTATCTGTGCCTCTGTGCATAACCTTCCATCCATCTTCTTAGGATAAGAACTAGGAAGATGAGTCAGATAACTATCTCGTGGCCGGGAAACAGAGGTGAATGCTGTGCCAACCCATTGGCTCCAGAGAAAACTATCATCTTACAGACTGACGAGGGAAGTCCGTGGCCACGGGAAGTGTGGGAGTGGTGGGGTACCTGGCTCTGTAAGTCAGTGCTGTGTGCTGGGGTTGGTTTGTCTCCCTTTCCACCCTTTTCTACTCAGCTTTCTGTCTTGTGCAGTGACCCCACATGGGGCCACATCAAGGGACCCAGGCACCCAGGGAGACCCCAGGAAATCGGAGGTGGAGGTGTTCATTCTCCTGGCTCTTCCTTGTGGGTCCCCTAGAACTGGCTGTCCTCCGTGATCTAGGGAGGTCTCTGCTCCTCTGAAGATGTCCTCTCCAAATGACTTTCAGTCTCCAATTTCACTCTCTCCCCCTGCCCCCTCCATCCTAGGTTGGTCACAGCTCCGCTTTTACTGGCTCTGAGTACACCGCCACTTCCCTACATTCCATGACTTCCCTGTACCCTACGCTCACCTTTGTAGATTACTTTATTTAACACTCCGCCAATCTTTTTAATTGGAGGCGCCATCTGTTTTCCGCTGTTTCCCATGGCTCTGGCCTTATACCACATAGGCATCCTTTCAAAGCAGAAAGGTATTGAGCCTCTAAGACCCAAGTGACACAGCCACACATTCCAGACCAGTCTGCAGAGGCAGTGCCTGCCAGGGCACGGATGTACCCAGGCACGTGGCTTGGGAAGAGATGTCTGACACCCTGCGTGGAGAGATGACCTCTAGGCAGGGGTACGGATGCAGAGGACCTGATAGCATATATTTTATGTTTTGTCGGGCACAGAGTTTCTGTTGCAAGTACTCAGCTCTGCTGTTGAGGCTCAGATGCAAACACAGACCATGTATAAACAAAGGAGTGTGGCCTTCTGCCAATAAAACTATTTACAAAACAAGCCATAGCCTGGAGGTGATAAATTTGTTGACTCCTGGTCTAGAGACGAGTGCAGTATTTTTAAACATGTTGATTGCAGTCTATAAAAAAAATACATCATAGCTCATTTACATACACATACATAGTTAATATTTATCTAATAATATGTGCCAGCTTGTTCTGAGTACGTTGTGTATATCAATTCATTTAATCCACACAACAACCTTATTTGTGGAGAGGTATTTTTACTCCCAGTGGAAAGATAAAGGTAGCTAAGCTTAGAGAGGTCACAGAAGCAACAAGTTTTCTGAATCTATACTTATTGCCTGAGTGATAAATTCATTTTCTGTCATACTCTACTTTGTTATTCATGGCACACCCCTTAGGCTGATCTCATGACCTACTAATGGGTCACAGTGTGGACTGATCTGAAAACCTCTGTCTACACAAGTCCCCCTTGGAGACCATGAGTACCTGTTTCTTTGGTCGCAGTAACATGAATTTGCCTTCTGGCTTTTTGGAGACACACATTCAAAATTTAGCTTTGTCATTTATTACTGGATGAATTTGGGCTAGTCTAGCTCTTCACAACCATGATCGAAGTTGGGTGATGATCAAGCCATGAGTATTAGTCAGACTGAAATGATAGGAGTGAAAGCTGCTGGCTCGCTCTCTTCCCACCACTTGAGCCGGACTTAGGGACAGGAAATGAACAGTGTGTTCACAGTAGAAGATGCTGGCAGGCTCCAGCTCTGCCCAGCAGTCCCAATGGACAGCAGCAGTAATGGGTCACACTGATATCACACCCCTTTCTATGATGCCATAATAAGAGCGTCTCACCCTCCTAGTAGTGTCCTTACCACTGTCAAATCCTGAGAAGTTGTTAGACAATCCACATTCGGGGCCAAACATCTAATCTCTTTAAGTGTCAAGGTTTTGAGAAAAGAAGGAGAGACCAAGAACCTAACCCAAACTGGAGGAGACTAAGATGTGACAACTAAATTCACATGAGAGATGCTAGATTGGATACTGGAACAAAACAAAAAGTGGAAAACTGGGAAAGTTCGAATAATGCCCCCCCAGGCAATTCATAGTACTGCACTAATGTTGATCTTACTTAGCTTTGATGCATGTTCCTTGGTTATGAAAGACAATAACCTTAACAAAGCTGGGTGTCCACAAAGTTTGTGTACAATATTTCCAACTCAATTCCTACTGCAAACTACACAGTTTTTGTTTTTAAATCTCTCAGATGACAAAGTGCCCCCAGCATCAAGACACCCTGTTCTTTCTGTGTCACTTCTAGGAAGTGTAGGGCCAGATTTTCCCAACTGCAGCAGCCTGTGTATGCTCTCAGCACATCTCTGGCAAAGGGTTACTCCAGTTTACGGTCTGGGAACGAGAAGTACACTAGGGGGTTGCTCACCTTTTGCATAAGTCACCTAACCTTGCCGACCACCCTTAACAGTTCCTAACAAAGAAGAGCTGCTGCTCCAAAAGGCAGGGTGAGGAGGCCATGAGCAGAGGCAGCTCGGATGTGCCATCACAGGACAGCGAACTCCATACACAATCGAGGGCTGTTGTTATTTATGCCAGGCAATGAGGGTGCAGCTCTCCCCAACCCTCTTCCAGATGGCACAGACACTCGAATACCCAGCACACAGCGCTCAACTGGGATCATTTGCACTCTGAAAAATCCCAGTGCTCAGGCCACAATAACTAGCCCAAATACTGGCACAAGTGTGTACTGAATGCCTTGAAGCTTCTTCTGTGGAGTGAGACTCATTGGTTGAATTTAGCTTCTGAGCAAGACGTCTGAGGTAGGCAGAATACTGCTTGTCCAGGAGTGTTCACATCTTAAGCTCCGAAACCTGTGAATGTGTTAACCTCAGCGGTCAAAAAGAACTTAACAGATAAGATCACGGTAAGGATCTTGAGATGAGGAGGTTATCCTGGATTATCTGAGGGGATCCTGATGTTATCACCCTGGTCCTTAAAATAGAAAGTGCAGAAGGGTCAGAGTCACAGAGCATATGATGAAAGCAGCACAGCATCAGAGTCAGAGAGAGATGAAGATGCTCTGCCACTGGCTTTGAGACAGAGAAAGAGACCACAAGCCAAGAAATGAAGGCACCCAATGGAAGCTGGAGAAAGGCAAGCAAAAAGCTGCCAGAGCGGGGACAGCCCTGTCAAGAGCTTGACCTTGATCAGCGAAATCCATGTTGAACTTTTCACTTCAGGAGTTGTAAGACAATAAATATGTGTTAAGCTACCAACTCAGTAGTAATGTGTTAAAGCAGCCATAGGAAATGAACAGAGGATCTTTCTCATCCAGCTGATGGTCTGCTATCTTTCCTGTGGTGGCATTAATCCCAGTTGGTGTTAATGGTGATGAAAAATATACACCATCATTTATTGGATTA